TTGTAATTTGTATAAAGAAATTCATTATATTGTTGTGGATTCTTATGGACATATTTTTTTTTGAAGAGAAAATAAACGAAAAATCATTATAGGTGCGTATGCAAGAAAATTTAAGGAAAAAATGTGTCAAAATCTGTAGAGATTAAATAATAAAATTTTATAGTATTATTTAAGATTTAAAAAGCTAAATTATATTGTTAGTTTTTCAAGACGGAAAATCATTATATGGTACCACGTAAGAAAACTGAAGGTGACAACACGTTCAACTGTGAAACAATTAAGAGGTATCAGTAATTTTCAATGTCTTCCATATTTTATAAATATTACTATAAGGAACAGATAAATATTACTATAAAAAATTACAAAACTATTATATGTAAAATTTTTACGTTTATTTGAAAAGAGTGTATATACGAGTGTACATCCAATCAAGAATAAGAATATAAACTTTGTAATTATTCTAAATTGATTAAAGATCGAGTAGAAATGTATCTTTTGTAATTATTGATAAATTTCTGTTTGTATTTTTATTGACATTTTCTATATTACATACGTTTCTAATAATAATAATAATGTTATATGCAAATGTTCCTTATTTGTGAAATTTTTCTTATTTTTTTGTACATTAGTGTATTAAAATCTGTACATATCTTTTCTTTTATATTAATATTACATATTTTTTTCTTCTCCATGCATACAGTACATGTGTATAAGAATCATATTTATTACATTATGTAACATTGTATATTGCGCTTTTTTTTATCAGTTAAATTACAATTCTCTTATTACAACAATAAATATTTGCGAAATTTTCTTACGAAGGGCAAAAGAGCAAATAACATCATCATGGGTACCAAGGCCGAGCAACTTAATTTAATTCGCAATGATATAAAGCAGTTTAAGACTGCAAAAAGTCTCGATCAAGTTATTGTCTTATGGACCGCAAATACTGAAAGGTTCTCAGAGATTATAACAGGTGTCAACGATACAGCCGACAATCTATTGAAGTCGATCGAGGAAGATCATTCAGAGATCAGTCCCAGCACCATGTTTGCTGTAGCAGCGGCTCTAGAAGGAGTATAACTAAAATTCATATACAATTCTTTTTTTTACTAATAAAGAAAATGAAGGATATATACTTGCTCAGATTATTATTTAACAATAGTCGTTCAATATAACGATTATTAAAAAAAATAGCCAACAGTTATATTTTCTCAAGATTTTACAGATCACTTAGACGATCACGGTTCAATAAATCGATTCACTTTAATGATAAAAATTAATAATTTTAATAAACAATATTAAATAATTAATGAATAATTTTAACCCTTCGTAGACATACCGAGTCTTTTTGTCCGGATAAAATTTATTCGTAAATTTCTTGGCATAAATTTCAATTTTTATTAAATAAAACGTTTAAGTTCAATAACTATTTAACAATGTAATAGAGATGTTGGAAAGTAAACCTGAATTTTTCAAGATTTTGGACAGTCTAGAACAGTAAAAAAATTTGGCCTATACAAAGAGTGCCTATAGAGTAAGTAAAAGTATGCCTCCGACAGGGTTAATAATGACTAATAAATTGTAATTATTAATTTAAAAGCAGGACAAAATTAGATGTAATTTGAAATTAATTTTTTGTTTATGATGTAAAAGTATTTCTAGAAATATATGTGAATATTATCAAGTAATAGTAACTATTACTAAATATAAATATACACGATAATTAATAATACTTGATCATAATTGAAGATGTGGAACTATAAATATATTTAACTACAAAATATTTTTCCTTTTACAATTACATATTTCTCTTCCATTCTTATTATATAAACTAATAATAACTATATAAGTATATATTCTTCCTCTCTATTTGTATTTACATAAATGTATTAACTAAAAATTGCAATGAGCGGAAATGAGAGCTACTTCATACATAAAAAAAATGTTTCCAGTGTACCTATATCAATGGATCGCCACAAAACACTTTTGTGCCGGGTACTCTTGAGTTAGCCAAGAAACAGAAGTCATTCGTCGGTGGCGACGACTTCAAGTCCGGTCAAACAAAACTCAAGTCCGTTCTTATGGATTTTCTCGTATCGGCTGGTATAAAGCCAGTGTCGATTGTCAGCTACAACCATTTAGGGAACAACGATGGATACAATCTATCTGCACCGCAGCAATTTCGCTCAAAAGAGGTATATAATATGAAGAAGAAAATGGAAATGATATATTTGATATGTATGATATATTTGATTTTTATACATATGTTCCTCCTCCTCTTCCTCTCTTTTAACTGTAATAGAGATAAAAAATTGAAAAATTTAAGAGTTATATTTTTAAGTAGTAATCTAAATACTTGTATTCAAAACGTCTCTTAAAATAAGATTATATCTGTCAAAAATACATTAATTGATCAAATGATAATTATTATTATATAATAATTATTTGATTAAATAATTTATCAAATAATCTTATTGACAAAAAGAAAATCTTATCGTAACATGATTAATAGTGTTATTTTCGTCATTTTTATTTTACTTTTAAAAAGCAGCCTTTTTTAATTGCATAAATTTTTTTTAAATCTTTTTTTGTATTGTTACGACTTTTTATAAAGTTAGTTCACTTTTGAGAGATTAATAGGGTATAATCTACTTTACTTATTCGTGATAATAACTTGAAAATATTTTTTATTCGTATTACTTTTGAAGTAAGGAAGCGGTATATATATATAAAATTATAAATAAAAAAAATATGGTATAATATATACATAATATGCGCGCGCGCGCGTGTGTGTGTGCGCGTGTATTATGTATTATGTATATATTATATCACATAATCGATCTCACACACAGATCTCCAAGAGTAACGTTGTAGATGATATAGTGAAATCCAATAAGATTCTCTATAAGCCTGGAGAAAAGCCGGACCACTGTGTCGTCATCAAATACGTTCCCTACGTCGGTAAGCTTTTATCTTTTGCATTTCACTATCTGGAACATCTTCTAAGAATAAGAAATTTTTCGAAAAGTTATTTAAAATGTTACGTTTGTACGTGCGTGCACGTTTATGTATATGCATGTATATGGTGCTGAACCTACAGATGTCTCTTAAAGGAATGCTTATTTGTAAGAGATAATTTCAATTATACAGTTTTCTGATGAATGTTTTAAAATTTTTTTAGAATTCTTACAAAATGTTTTAAATGTTGAAAATTTTCAAGTTTTTTAAAAAATGTTAACAATTTCTTGAAAAAGTTGACGATTTTATATTTATGATTCTCACCAAATTTCTGAAAAATCGAGTCTGTATTTTTCTGGGATTTTTATAAAAATTTACCTTTATATTTATTTCCAGGTGACAGCAAGAGAGCTATGGATGAGTACACTTCTGAAATCATGCTAGGCGGTCACAACACCATCGTAATCCATAATACATGTGAAGATTCGCTTCTTGCGACTCCCATCATTCTCGATCTTGTCATTTTAGCTGAATTATGCTCTCGTATTACCTTTAAGAAAGCGGATACCGATGATGACGAAGAATTCTCTGGCTTCCATAGTATACTTTCTATTTTATCATATCTCTGCAAAGCCCCACTAGTGCCCCACGGGACTCCAGTGATAAATGCCTTATTTCGACAACGGGCTGCTATCGAAAACATTTTGCGAGCTTGCTTATCATTGCCACCGGAGGATAACATGTTGCTTGAACACAAAGTCGATTTCAAGATTTAAAGAAAGACGATGAGATTAGGAGAGAAGATAGAGAGTAGGAGATAAAGAAGGAAAAGAGGAAGGAAATAGAAGAGATATAGAGGACAAAGAAAAGAGTTAAAGAATGATAACGAAAACTTGGCTCGTTTGTTATCAAAGGAAGATGGTAATTCGTTTTTTTTTTTAACCTAATTTCCACTCTTTGTTATCAAACATCTGATATATGACAGTATATGTACTGTTTATTTAAAAACTATGAAGAGCGCGGAAATGATTGAATTGAGGACTGATTTTCTAATTTTATTACAAGCAATTCAATTTTGATATGAAAATGTTAATTCCGTCAATATTGACAACACTAACATTGTAATGAACATAAATTTTCGATCATATTTTTGAATACTCAATTATATTAATCGGTTACAAAAAACTTTTTTTGGTTTAGGAATTTGATTCAAATATTGTTGATAAAGTTATTATATTATAATATAGCCAAATTCATTATTTAATATTATTAAATAATGTTAAAATGTTAAGAAAATAAAGTTATTTTTAGTATCAAATCGTCACTTATTAAAATTATTAATAATGTTATAAAATTTTGTTTTCTAATCAAATTTCTTTTCTATTCTGATCGTTTATAATACTTGATTCTAAATTCATGATCTATCAATTATTTTTAATCTGTTTATCAATCACATTAATTAATTGCTGTAGATTCAGTTTCGAAAGAAGTATGTATTTTTAATAAATATAATTATTAATAATTGTGCGTGCGTGTGTATGTGTGCGCATGGCATGTATGTGTGTGTAAAGAAAAGATTAAGAATGCAGATATGATAACGGAGGAAATAAGGAATAACGATGTTAATCTATCGAAAACTATATATTCCGATTCAATTTCTGGCAAGGTTGAAATCGTATGTTATTCCTTCTATTGTATCTGCATCCTAGGAAAATTAAAGATATGTATATTTTAAATAATAGTTCATAATTCACATATGCATATAAATAATAATTGATAAATTATGAATTATTACTAAATTTCGACAAAATACATTTTCATTAAATTAATAGTGATATCTTTTTATCTAAAATAAATTTGTTTAAAGGAAAAAATTTTTGAAGCCCACCCTTTCCTCTCATGAATTATGTGCATTAAAAAGTAGAGGTATATGTTCCATTGAGTACTCTCGAGTAGGATACAATTCCTCAATTGATCAAACATTTTATGTTTTATCTCGTGAAAGTTTTAAATAAAAAAAAATTTATTCAAAAGGCTCTATTTTTGTATGTGATTTTGTGTGATTTTTGTATGTATTTTTGTATCTGATACATTCCTCAAACAATATATTATCTATATACATATTGTCGCGTTGATAGTATACTGTTTTATTTTGTATCATCGATTTATACTAAATAAAATGACAAATAGTTAAATAAAAATCTGTTTCTTAGCATTTATCAATTAGTATAACATATGTATGTATAACATATGTATGTATAACTTTACGTTGTTTTGTGTGTGTGTGCGCGCGCGCGCGCGCGTGTGTAATATCATTATTATCGTCATACGTTATTCTTGTAGTAGATATACATATATAAAAATAAATTCGTATTATTACGCAGAATCTTTCGCAATATTGTATAATATTTCAGCAATTAATTCCCCAATATCCCATTTTCGAACTTTTCTAACATTTCAGTATAGTATTTTTTTCGAATTTACTTACGTAATTCACAATGTTTATAATACGTCGCATATGATATCCTACTTATAAGTATTTCAGAAATTGATATGAGATACTGTATACTATCTACAATAGTAACATAATCATATATGTACGTACATGTGTATATTAATTATATTTTTTATTTTTTTTATATACTACACATTTTATAAATACATTATATGTATACAGAAAATTGTGTGTGTGTGTGTGTGTGTGTGTGTGTGAATATAGATACAGATCAATTTTTAGGTTTATTTCATGGATCTGTAAAAGTATACAAGTAAATTCATATCTTTTGCGTATCGATCGACATACATAAATCGATGGTCTGATTTGTACCAGAAATCGGAGTATCGATATATACATATATATGTATTTATCGCAACAAAATGCAATAGTAATAATAATAATAATAACCACCAACCAACGGCACGACGCGCGACCGGCGCGACGACAACGGCGGATAGAATACGCGGACTGCGACGGACGACTCGTACTCGCGCGACATGACGACATATGAAAGCGTGACGTGACGCGACGTGACGCGACGTGATCCGTAGTGATCCATATAGGTAGAGCACGTCGTAGTCGTAGTTCGTACTAAGTCGCACACTTCGCGAGGAAGCGGATAATGTCGCCGCGCAAGGATAACATCGTGGGCAGCTGTCTGTAAGATCGCCGAGATATCATCGATAATTCGCCACCGATCGCGGCCACGTCGCGGTGTCCGCCGCGTCGTCATCCCTGATCCTGCCCGCATCAACGCTGGAAGGGAAGGATGGAGGCGGACTACCAGCCGACGTTAAGTCCGTCGCGGACGTTGACAGGTGAGACGCCAGACGACGTCGATTTTTTTTGACAAACAAAGGACGCCGAGACGAAGGCGAAGCCTGTCGATGTGAACTCGACCCGACGCGGATCAAATCAAAAACCAGCAGAAGCGAGACGCTAAGAGCTATCGGCTAGGAGTCTGTGTAAATAGAAAGCATCATGCGTTTGCGATTGTCATTACATCCGCGAGTGTAGGTTGTACAAAAATCGCAGGTTTTATGTTACGAAAAGAACTCTCGGTGACTTAACGATCGTCTACATTAACGCAAAACTCCAATTCGCTATTAAATATGCGGTGTAATACTGATTAGGTTTCATATATCATATATTTACAGAGATAAGATTTTTTTAAATCTTGCTCATGGCACACATTGTGACGCATGCAAGGTATCATCATTTTCATCTGTTTTCTATTTATTGTCGACTCATTTCTATTGACATTTAACAGGAATGGGCAACGATTGTGAAGATCCATATCCTAGCCTATCAGATTATCACGATTACGAACCAAATCTGGAATTTGACGATACAGAATTGCAAACTACTTCAAATAATGGTAAATTATATGTATCAAATGTATGTTTTGTTAAATCTGTTTTATTAAATAGCAGTAGATTCATCTTCTTATTTCTAATCTAGAGAAACAAAAAGAGTGAAAAATCTCGTTTAGTGTTGTGTAAAAAATATGTTTTATACGTATATGTATATACGTATATGTATATAATGCAGCAGCTATGGTAATTGTTTAAAGTTAACTTAATGTTTACAGCGGCAAGACTTCTGGAAGGGAAATTGGATTTGGTGAGCGGTAGCATAGGTGCTGGGATGGATTATATGGAAAGCCCAGTGAGTGACGGCACAATTGAGGAGAACTTTGAGGAAGCTTTGGTAGATGCTCCAGTTATTGAATCTGGTGTGTGACCTTTTACCTTCTGTTAGTAGCCAGTAAATGTCATGGCATTCTCGGGGCATAGCAGGTGAATTATGTGTAGAACATTGTATAGCTTGTTTTTACATTGCATGGCGTAAGGATGAAAAAGGAAAGGGAATGTGACAATTGTTTTGCTTTCTTCTTAATCCATTTTGCAACAATAACATTATGTACAATCATAACATTTGAAGTGAGTAAATATTTTGATGTGAAATATACCTTTTTTTTCCTAATAAAATAAGATTGCTCCGAGGATTCGAATTGTTCTTGCTAAATAAAATTTTTAGTTGATACAAATTTGTTGCAAGAGCACGCTTAGGAAATGAACAATCTGATGTCACAACAAATCTGTCTGTTTTAACGAATAGCGGACGATCTGGCTGCTTTAGATGGAGAGCTCGCTGATGAGGAAGATTATCTTGACATATCCAGACATGGTATCGTAGAGGTAGTCGGCGACGATAGTGCTGGTCGTAAAATAATTGTTGTGTCAGCTTGCAAATTGCCCCCCATTGGAAAAGAGACTTTTAATCACGCTAAACTCCTCAGGTGAGTTTGCGATATATCTATGTCATAAAAATGACACACGAGACATTTATTCCATCGCAAACAATATGTCTTGCAATTGCCTGCAAATTATTTAAAAATCGCGAGTCATCCTATATCATTTCCAATAGTTGTATGTGCCAAGTTTTTATCTGTTTTCTCGGTACTAGCTTTC